AATAATTTTAACTAAATTATGTTTTTCATCAATCATTGTTGCTTTAACAAATTTTGTTTCAGTATTTGATGATGATGGTGCACGAACATAAACTTGAGCATTGTTAAGTGATTTTTTCTTTTCAGTAAGTGTTTGTTGTGTTATAGTGACATTATTGCCGACAAGTGTGACTGAATCAGAACGGATATTATTCCAATCTTCAGATGAGAATTCAATTGGTAATTTGCCAAGTGGTTGAATGATTTCAGCAAGATTTGAATAAATTTTTACGTTTGCAAGAACACGAAGATCACTAGTACTGGCTATAGGTTTTTTTCTGAAACTATCTAATAAGCCATGGATACTTAGAGTATGTATGGCTAATAGACATAGCAGTAAGAAACACTTCATCTTCAAATGAGTACAGGCTCGATATGCTATCTAATGACTATAGGATACTGCATGATACAAACATTTATAAGCGAAAGAAAAAAAAAAAGAGAGAAATGAGTGGGAATTTACCCTTTTCTTCTGATAAAAGTCAATGATATATTACTTTTATCATTGTGATGAGTTAGACAGAGGAAAAGAAATACGACGATATATGTATGGTGTTGATATAATAGCGGGCAATACATACATTTAATGAAGTCAACAGGTTGCAAATCCATTGGTAAAAAAAAAAACATTCTATTTCTGATAATTTCAACACTTCATCTATTATGGTATAATGCCAATCTACCCTCAAGAAAATGTTCCCATCCTCAGAGAAGAAGTGTTATTAATTTCCCATGATTATTCTTCGAGGCTAAGGGTGGTCTTCTATAGTAGTTTTTTTTAAGTAATCAATTTTTCTCTCCTATACACAATAATTTATAATCTTAAGAAGATATTTCAGAGACATTATGAAGTAATACATTAGTTTATGGTGTATCTCATCAAAGAATCTTTATTCTTGAAAAAGACAACAATACATTGAGTTAATAGTTATTGAATACGAAAATTGCTTTTTTTTTGTTTTGTTTTCTGTACATCACATGAGTTATTTTCTATTTAGATACAATCATTAATAGCATTAATGATACTATTTTTTTGCTATAGTATTACTAAAGAAAAAGTCATGATTTTTATTCTGATATAGATCAATTTTTGTAGATAATAAAGTATTCGGATGGAAAGTTATTTATATTGATAGAGATAAAGATAAAAATTTATTATTTAAATAAGATTTCATATCTGATCACTATATTGTAACCATGATCAACAAAAGATTTAGTAGCATGCAATATATCTTTCGCGATGTGTTATTTCAATATGAATGTTTCATAAAAAAGCATTACTTTTTGTTTTGCTTTTCTTGTTTCTGTCATTGTGAATTTCAAGCTAAATAATTATTTGCAATATATTGATTATATGACAATAAGATATTCAAATATTGTATTGTATTACAAATAAACTTTTTTATCTATTTTGTTTTAAACTATCTACTTAATCAACTCTACAAAGTAAAATCTATAGTAAATAAAAAAGAAATTTATCGATAAGAATGAATACTTAATCCAATGTAACGATTGGTTATTTCAAATGTATAGGTTAATATTTTTTCTTCATTCGCTTCTAATATTGTTGTATATTTAATTATTGAATTTTCAAGTGTAATATTTGCATTTGATGTAACCAATTTGATTGAACTACTAAACATATGCTTTTGATAGTCAATTTTAACTGCACGATTTGTCTTGTAATTTTTCACTGATAAATTGATTTCGTATGTTAAAGGTTTTGATGTTGTAATAAAGTCGTGAAGTGAAGTGGTTGTATTCAGACTAAATGAAGAGACTAATGTTGCATTTTCTTTGTAGACTATATCAGCATCTTTACCAACGGAAAATTCATGTTTATGTTTAGCAGCTATATCTGGTAGATATGTTTGATCAACAAGACGATCAGATTCACGTATAATGCAATCACCACGTGAGAGAGAACGATCAGATGAAAGACAAAATGTACGTTCAGCTTTACCACTTACATTTCCAGCACCATTGAAGTGTGTTGAAATAGAAGCATATTGTTCCACAATCACTTGTGGATGCAACATTGGTAAAAGATAATTTGTTTTAGCATTAATTGATATTGGTTCAGTGATAGAAAATACATATAAATCGAATATTTCTTCTCCTTGTCCAACTGATTTTTTGAATAATGAGTTACCTATACCTATGAACGAATTTGGAAAGTTATTGTGACTCCCTTGAAAGAGCATTGGTGTATAATTCGGCTTTGGGTGTACCTTTAAGTTAATATCATCGCTTAAAAGTTCTGCAGATTCAATATCAACTTTTGATTGTCCATCATTTCGAATATCAGCCATAGCAATGAAAGTTGCAGGTTTCACATTCTCAAATAAATTCAATTGATAACGTGTTTTCCAGTTAAGATTTGAACGAAGATAACTTAAATAAACTGCATCGCTTGTATCATATGTAAAATTAACATAATATTTTGTTTGAGGTGGTTCATTTTCATAAACAATATGATCTGGTTGAGCAGTAAAGAAGATTGGTTCTTTATTAATATCTTTATCAATAATTTTAACTAAATTATGTTTTTCATCAATCATTGTTGCTTT